AATGAAATCCTTCTTGAAATCAGGGGTGCGTCTTATACACTGGCAAATACTGTATTTATCTAATTAAATTTGAAATTATTTCTACGTATATAAAGGTTGCTTGTATAAACTACAAATAATTCCCATATATGTATTAAGTATTGTTATTTCCACATATGTAATAAGTGACGGTAATAAAGTAATAAAAGTGGTAAAATAAAAAAAAAATGTTATCTCCATTTTCGGGCATTGCTCGTTTTGTTCGAAAATTACAAAAGAAAAAATTCAAAATTGAAGATAGAGATTTTTGCCCCAAAGTCTGTTGTACAAAATTAGCTCTTTAAAAAAGGCCATGTACAAAATTTTGTAAAAGTTTGTAGTTTTTGCGTAAATTCTGTCTTAAATTAATTAAGCATTATTGGCGACCTCTCGTACATACAATAACAGTGTAATATTGCTAGAAAGTATATGATGTTGTAACAGCAGTACTTTTAAATGATTTGAATTAAAATGTTAATGATTTAAAATTAATATAATTTCTTTTTGTCTTCTACAACACCCTCATTAAACATACTGCAACAAACTTAATAGAACTGCTCACTCACGTTTGTAACTTAATGACAGGTATCTTCCCAGAAAGTCTCAAAAAAGAAAAAGTTAAACCACTATTCAAAAAAGGCAACACTCACGATCTCATGAATTACATACCGATATCCTTACTATTTGGCTTCTCAAAAATTGTAGAAAATCTTTTTAATGATAGACTCCAAAATTTTCTCAATTCAAATAACATATTGACAGAGGCCCAACATGGATTCAGAATTCTTACCCAGCATTCTCTGCTAGGGAAAAGGTCTTTGATAATTGCCTTCACCCATCCGCGTCTTCTAGCCCCGCGATTGTTGAAGATTTAAATTTGCCCATAACAATTTCCCCAGGCTTTTCCCCAGGGGTCGTTGTTCACATCGTTTAATAGGGCCTTCCAGCATTTTGTTTTGGTTTTTTTAAATCTCAGATTTTAGTCTTTTGCGGGCCGTCTTGTAATTTTCCCTCAGCAGAATGTCCATTTTAGCTCTTGTTGCAAGTCTTCTCGTATCTTTAACACATGCTTGACAAGTAAGCCAGCCAATCTCAAAATTCTCTGCTTTGAGCAGAATTTCTGCCTGGCGCGAAGGAAGCATTGTAGTCTCTACCTGTCTGCCTCCGTACAACTTGTAAGTCCCCCGTAAAGCGTGTGACAGTTCCTGTTACTTCATCTAGGGTAACAGATTCATCAATGTTCCTTAATTCAATTAAGGTTTTGGGGTTGAAAGTGTTGATGTTTCCCCTGTCTCCTATTGCACGGGTGATTGCTTCGTTTAGAGAAGTGGGATCACAATCTTTCCATAGGACTATCAGGAGTACATTTTTACGTGTCCTGATCGTCTGGATATTAGCGTTGTGTTGCTTCGGGTCAACCGCTTCCTTCATTCTTTTTAATATTTCGGCATTGCTCTCAGGAAGCCTGCAACGTCAGGCGAAACGTCGGCACCCCAGCCAACGACGCGGCGTCTCCCGGATAGTCGAGAATTTATGGCCTCTTGTCTTGTAGTGGACGTGGAGCTTGTCTCTTCTTCTTCTTCTTCTGGGACTGTGCCTTTTTCACCGACGTCCCGTTCATCTGTTTGCCGGGTTTGATATTCTGGGCCTTTTTGTCATTCTCTAGGAGGATTATTTTCTCATACATCCGCTTTTGGGCATCCACCTCTTCTAGAGCTATAGCCAAGGTGTCCTTCACTATAACTGTGTTGTTTTTCAGAATGTTGCTGCTAATGATAATTAATTGACTCTGTAGACGGGCAATAATCTCCGAATTGTCTTCCATCAACTTTTGAGTCATCACCTAGTTATGTGATGTCCAGCCCCTCGCATTACTATCCCCTGCCGAAGTGGGATCTTCTTGGACCAGGGTTGCCTTGTCTCCTGAGGGTACACCAGTTGCCGTGGGGGTACTTGGAGGTGATCTCCGCAGATTTGACTTCCCAAAGGGCTTAAAACCTGTTTGCTCTAGGCTTTCGCTTGTCGCAGTATAGTACTTCAGAGACGCCAAGAGGTCCACGTCTCTGAGATTGCAGTCGCTGGTTGACGACCTCCGGAGGCCTGCTTGCCCACCCCCGTCTGCCGGTACTGGGGTTCCGATCCCCTGCACCGTAACGATTGATCTTGAGGGACCTTCCATCGTGGGTTTCTTTTCGGAGTCACCTTGCCCTAGCGTTTTAACGTAAGAGCATTCCCCAATCCGCCACCTGGGGACGCGTCCGAGAGGCCAACTACTCCCATGGATATTATTATTATTATTATTATTATAACATACTCCAAATTGCACACTTGCTATTTACATGCAATACAAAGCTCTGCAGAACTTATCCTCCCAAATTGGTCCATCGCACGCCCCTGTGTCATTTCTAGGAATGGTCAACTTCTTTCAGTAAATAATATACTATTTAACACTGAATTGGCCCCTTTCTTGTAATATTTGTATTATTAACTATCTTAATATTATTGAATTAATTTCTATGTACTGAGCATTACGATATTTACTTTTCTTTTAGTATAGTATATTATAGTATATTATCAGTCACATGCGTCTTTAACCCTTGTTAACATGCAACCCTATAAGTTTGTTAAGTGCACTTGTACCTAACTGTAGGTTTAGAACTTTAAAACAGCAACGGGATTTAATAACCTTAGTAACCTAAATAAACAACCACCCATTCATCGCAAGTCAACATTATTACGAAAAAATCTCATGGTAATTTACAAGACAAATAGCAATCAAAGAAACACATTATTTTGGGGCAAGTTCATTATTAATTGTGCAGTTTGAAAAATAAATATTTGGTAAATTATCATTATTTTCAAGTTCACACTTTCATTTATATCTATTGCGCATCTCAGCATAGAATAATATACCCATAATGAGGTTGGCTTGTTACCTGCGACTGTAAAACAAAACGTAAGACAAAAGTTTGTCTTTATAAAAGGAATAAGTGTAAATTACCTTACCAAGTTCTTAAAGTATGCAAGCATTACATCTTCTGTAATCACGGCTACGTGATTTTGTAATTGCCAAGTTTTAAATTCTTCGTATGCCTTCTCGTATCGTGCTTTAGATTTTTCAGGGATTAAATCTCGCGTGGCTTCCGCAGCTGCATTCAAAATTTCTTGAGGTACAGACGAATCTTCTGCGTTCATCTTCCTCGAGCCACGGTATACAAGTGTATTGTTGAAATAGATATATTGCAAGCAATACCCAACAATATCGATTAATGTGCCGTAACAGAATTCATGTGTTTCATATCGCAGTAATGTCGTAAATTTTCTCCAAAAAATTGAGATTTTATGGTGCCCGATAAAACGCTGAACATACCACGAAATGTTAGTGTTATTACTGTCTTGTCGAAATTAAAAATCTCAGCTCCGCCTCGATTTTTAACTTTTGGCATCGGCAATAATAACACTCATAATATTTCGAAACATGTTAATAGCTATTATGATATAGTTTAGTCTCCAATATCCTTGTACTGAAATTGTAACGCCTCCCTGCACCATAAATAATTTTGAAACACAAAAAGTTAACTTGAAATTTAAAATATGTTAATTCATAATGGTAGTATTTCTTTGGATGTGATCCAATCGGTATGTAATACTATTTGTTTTGAATTAATCCAATATTACTATTAAATTCTGGCTTTGGAAAGAGCACTGTCCTTGTTGATTCGCGCCTGCTCCTCAAATAGATGATGGATTGCCTTTATCTACATGTATAGTCTACGCAGTGTCTACTCGTTTACTTTTAGACGTAGGCTGGTACTTTATGTGTAGACACATAGAAACGTGTGTTTCTTTGGATGGCGCGCGGAACTGTACTGTGCACTGAAAATCCACCCTGTGACCCTGTGCTTCACCAACCTCCCCGAAGTGAAGAGGGTAACCTTCCCAAACCACAGAATCTCCACGGCGCGCCTTATCTCAATGGTTGTTAGGTCAACCGTGATGTCACCCGCCATAGCAACGTGGTCTCCACGCTGTCAGAGTCGGGCTGATTAAGTAGAAGCGAGAGAAATATGATTCTTCTTCCAGTGTGAAATACATTGGCACTCCGCCTTTTTTAATTGAGCTATGGTGATTCAAATACTCGTATGAGTATCAAGCACTGCCACTCCAGGGTGTGTGCAGTGCTTCTTTGGAAATACATCACCAACTCCATATCTCGTCTCACTTGGTGCATAGGGAAATCGCTGTGCACCTACACCACTCACTCTAGGTAAACTGCGATTTATTCAACTCTGTCCCTGGCAGGTATCAACTATTTTGACAGTTTCATCCAATCGGGAGCTTGAATGTCACAACAGTGACTTCACTATGGTGACGCTCAGGCTTCCGATTGGATTAAACAGTCAACAGCTGATACCTGCCAAAGGCAGAGTTGCGAAAATTGCAGTATAGACAAGCAATATGTCCCGATTTTATGACACTATAGTACGATTTATTTAGTCACGCACTTGACGTAAATCAGCTGTTGCGGTTTCATCTAATCGGGAGCTTTACGTCGTCACAGTGATGTTACTATTGGGACATTCAAGATCCCTATTGGATTAAACCGTGAACAGCTGATTTACGTCAAGTGCACAGTTAAATAAATCTTAGAATAGCGGGCCCGATAATGCTACGCTATTGAAGAGTATTACACTTTACACGCTACTGGCCACGTTTTACGCTACGCTCTTCAGAAATTCTAATAGATTAAAGACTTTCTCGCGATTATGGGTTTGTTCTACATCTGTATTTTTGGGAGTGGCTGTCATGTATTCTTTTGCTTAAACGTTCTCCCTCAAGACTGGGCATGCGTTCGCTATGACGCTACCATAAAGAAATTTTATTTACTTCTCCGAGATAATGTTCAATAGTTAACATTTTAAACACATTGAAAGAATGGGAGTCTCACAAGGAATATGTGTTTTCTGCCATTAAGGTAGCTGGGGCAGACAAGTACAACAGTAGCACACCCACTTCATGCAGAACCAAGTAGTTCAGAAACCATTAGAAGATGGAAATGTGAGGGTGGGTGTTCTTTGAAGAAAGGATGAGATACCTCCAGGGCAGACTCTCCATAACAGCTAATAAAAAAAATGAAGATGTAAATTTAATTTTCTAAAATTTATTTTTACTCAAAATTCATTTTCTTGGCATCTTTCCTTTTATTTTTCTTCCTATATTTTTCAATCACTTTCTCTACTTTGCCTTTCTTTTTTAAATCTTCATATTGCTCCACCAAATCAAGGACCCGCTTTTCCGCTGCAATAAAAAGTGAATAAAATTAAATATTTATCTTCACAAATAAATAAGTACTAGTAATTCTTAAATACATGTACAAATTATAACAAGACTATTCCACTCCTGAAATTATCAAGCACCTCGTGAATGCCCCATTGACAGTGGCTTATCTCAAAAAGATATTGCTTTTCTATCAAATTTTTCTTACCACTCCTCTGTATTAGATAATCATAAGGTGCAATAGATCAGTCGAAGGAAGTTATGTTAAAGGCAAAGTTTCATAGATAGAATTAATATTTGGTGCATACTGATACTCTTTTCAAGGTAATAACATTCATGGAATAGTCTTATTTAATATCAGTAATACACAACTTTTTCAGATAAATTCCCCAAGTCAGAAATTACATAAATTTCATCGGGAATTTACAAGAAATTTCCAATATACTATAATTAATATGGTCCTAATGCATCATGACTAATAATTATATGGTCCTAATGCATCATGTGTTGGGGTTATTTCAAAAGGATGGTCTTAAATATTTCTAGATCTTACACCTGATTTCTTCTTTTAGGGAGCATGAAAATTCTAGATGCACTATAGGCAGCATCCCAAGAGCAGAGAAGAATTGAAAGAATCACTTCAATTGAATGCTAAACCACATCCCAAGAAACTAAGAAGAGTTTTTGATAATAAATATTAACTAGTGACTCTGTCCTCAAAATGGTTTTTTGAAAGTTTCAAAACATACTGTTGGTTAGTAGTCATGAGTAAAGATTTCATTTAATTGCTTTCTAATATACTATTTTACTTACTAATTACTATTTTTTTAATTTACTTTCTAATATACTATTTACGTAGTAGAACTTGAAGCGAAAACGTCAGAAAAAACACTTATAAGAAAAATAGATAATTATTGTTGAAAATTATTTCGTCACACTTGTGTAGTCAGAATCTGCGTTTTGCAAGTCCTTGATATACAGCAATTTGTTTATGGCAAAACGCCGGTCGCTAGCGTGCAAACCGTAGGCAGGTTTTCCATACAAACTGATATCCTATATCTTAATTTATTCGTAATTTAGAGAGGCCTTTACATTATTTATTTTGAATTTAGAGGGTTCTTTACATGAACCCTCAATTTCACATCAATGCTAATCCCGTTGAAAGAAATTCTTTAATAGTGAGGGAAGTTCATAAGCATGAGCGATGGATCGAGAGGCAATAAGAGAAGCAAGCCAGGTCGCAAGAGCGAGGGTCTCAATGCCCTCGTGAACGCATCTAGTGCATCGATTTGGTGTCAAAATGCGATGGTGCAATGAATCAATTAACTATAAACAAACATGAAAACTGTTAAAATAAATAGTTGTGCATCTGTTCACATTGTTCATAACAGACTGTTCTAGTGAACGAATGTTTCCGACTGAAAGGAAGGGGTATTGTAAACTTTGTTTTATTACCAATGTTTTAAATGTGTTAAAATTATAATAAAAATGATAGGATGCGTTAAGCACTGTTGCCTCCCTTGACCGCCTTGAGCTCTCTCAAGATTTATGGATTCAGTAAAAGTGTACTGCTGCATCCCCCCTTTCTTGGGCCGGCGTGATTCCCCCAACAAAACAGTGCCCCAAAAAGAAAACTATCGGCGGCTCCCCAAGGCCCCGCAATCCTACCGTAGCGGCCGACCTTCCCCATTGCAAATTGAAGCTTGCACTCACAGCCATGAAGGCAAATTTACGCGACTAATTAAAATACTTCGATTTTTTTCTCTCCTGTCAAATGTTCATCCATGAAATAGGGACCTATGATGGTGTCGTTAAGAATACCGCACCAGACATTAATACTCCACTGCTTTTGGTTCTCAACTTCACGAAGCCAGCGAGGATTGTCCACTGCCCAGTAGTGCACGTTCTGTAGATTTACCTGACCGTAATTCGTAAATGTTTCCTCATCGGTAAACATCATAAAGTCCTGATCATCTCACACGTGTTCCAGAGCAAAACGACAAAATTGAACATGTTTCTGGTAATCACCATCATAAAGCTTCTGGTGCAACGAAATGTGGTAGGGGTGAAACTTGTAAGTCTTCAAGTTGCGGAGGGCACTCAAACGACTAATGCCGGAATCTCTGGCAATGTCTCGAGAGCTGATGTGGGGATTGTTGTGAACAGCTGCCAACAATATTGTTGGCAATGACTACGCATATAATTATTTCGTTAAAGAATTTATTTTTACTTGTAAATTGAGGGCGGAGGACACGTGTCATGCAATTATTTAGGGGGATTTAAGCAAGCATTACAGACATGTTATGGGGGATACAGAGGGATGTATTCAAAATATTCTTCCATTCTATATGTAATTTTTAAAAAAAACTTCTTAACAATAAAAAGAAAATAAAGTAAATAGCAATTTACTTTCAAAATTTTGATTATGCTCAACAAATACATACATTTATTCACGAAGCGTGGTTTCTTCCCTTCACGGAGCATTTGAATACGTTCTTCAAGTTCCTGGTTCTTTTTCTTTTGTTCTTCATTCAGTTTATGTTCTGCTCTTTCTTGATTTTCCTACAAAAAGAAATTTACATTTTTACTACATCAAATTGCCTTACATTTTGTCAACAAGATATAAAATAAAATTAAAATTTTCATTTTAAATGTGATAAATACCCCTCTCACACTTTCTTAGTGTTTTGAGATATACGTTTTCAATATTTCAGAAAGCATCAACAAAAGGATACAGAATGTGAAGGATAAAAGTGGAAGGGAAAAGGATCTTTTAAAACCTTTCTGAAATAAATGTCATACCACTTAATATTTTATTTTAGTAAGTATTAAAAATAATAATTACTATTCTGTTTATGAGGTAAAGCAATTTTTCTCTCTTGGCACTGTCCTTCTCACGCTTCAGCTTTTTTTTCAGTATCCCTTTTTCACGTGCTTTAATATCACTGATAAATGAATAATCAGTTTTGAATCTCTGGAAGCATAAAAACTCATTAAAAATTGCAAAGAAACATCACAAGTATATGCTTTGAATATAAATAATGTCTTTCTTCATTTTGCTGATGATTAATGGTTAACATGAAACATGATACATCCTAATTAATGAATAACACTTTGAATCAGTTGGTAACATTTGATCAAGACAACATCCAATGTATGAAGAGCAAGGGTATGTATTTTCAATATTAGAATAATATTGCGATAACATTAAATCCTACCTTCTCATCAAATTCTCCACACAAATGGTCAAATCGAGGGTCACGTGCCTCTGGAGCAGATGAAGATGTCGATGTCGATGATGATGATGACAATATTTTGGCCAAAGCACGTGGACGTATTTTAGAGGAAATTTCAGTAGGTCTTGGAAATGATGAAGATCAATAATAATTAATGATTTATTCATTCAAATTATTTATGTGTTAATAAAATGCAAAATAACAATGAAGAGAGGTGCACCCAGGATTTTTCTAGGAAGGAGGAGGGGGAATGCCTATATACAGTGAAACTTTCATTAAGCGATCGATGTTGGTTACATGAAAACCTCGGTCTTTAAAAGGAGTGGTCATTTAATAATGTGCGTCTGTGAGTCTGTTTTATTACAAAATACAGTCTATTAAGATTAGCCATTGAACATTTAGGAAAGTCCTATGTTAATGAAATACTTTAGTACAAGCCCGAATTATGAAAAATGATATATTTTGATTTAAGTTTCATTTTGACTCTTTGATATAACAGCCTTCGTAGAATTGTTTTATGCCTTTTTTAAATTCATTTATAAAATTTACACTTCCTTCTCTTAGAGTTAAAATAATTTTTTTCATCATTTTCAATTTTAGTACACCCAATATTTATCTACAGATTTCTAACTCCTCTTTCCTTAAGTAGACTCAATTGGTCATTTGGCTAAGCTTAGCACATATGACTTAGACGCTCAAAACCTTACTTTACTCACACTCCTTCCCACCGTTTAAAAATAGCATCTAGTGACGGCTCTTGGATGAGTGCTGGATTCAGATTCTGGATGCAACCCTAACTCTCACGTGCTATTGGGCAAGTCAATAATTCTGATACTCTATTGCACCAGGTGTTCTTCCAGGAAGGTAAGGAAGGCTCTTTTAATTCAAATAATTAAACATTAGTCCAATTTCATATCCACCATCTCATCAGAAGAAATGAAACTAAAATGGAGTGAGGAGCTGTGATACCATATCAGTAACCACAGTCAATTGTTACTTGATTCTCGGAAACTCCACTTTATGAATTCCTCGAGACTCTTGCCGATGCACAGCACATGTTGCAAATACTTTTACAAAGTAGCCAGTTTAATTTTAACACTGAAAATTCGGTGTATTGTATTCTTCCCATTTTCCTGAAAGTGGTATCTTAAATGAGGTACGTTAAGAATAATGCTATTAAGGGTCTGGTCGATGATTGGGTGGTCTGTTAACAGGGGAATAATTTGCATACAATCTGTGCGTTTCAGTGTCCATTCCACAAAAAAATCAGTCACTGAGATGGGTGGTCAATTTAATATGAATGGTCTTTCAGATTTCACTGTAGGATCTTGCCAACATGATGATTTTTAAACAGAATTTTTCCATTTATTAACTGTATTTATATTACAGTTTACAGTTATATTACAATTAATGTTTATAAATTTACTATTGATACATTAATAACTTTCATTAATACAGAAAATTAGTAAAAGCTATATAGAATAGCTATTACAGGCCTCTGGGAAGGCTCTTCAGAGCACCATTGATTAAAAATTCTTAAATGCTACTCACCTATTTTTATTCAGACGTTTTTGAATGCAAGGTTTCTTTTTAATTCCAAATATTGCTTCATTGTATGCTTGTCCACCCAGCTCCTTTTTGAGGTTAACAAGTTCTTCAAAACTCATCCCGGATATTTTCTCGCGAATTAACAACTGGAAAAATGTTACATCTCAATAAAAACTAATTCAATATCTTTGAAAACACATTAATTATAATGAATACAAAACTAACATACACAAAAAATATATTTAAAATAATGTAACATGCAAATTAAAAAAAGTAGTGAAAAAACTCACGATATCGGACACGGGGAAACATTCTGTGGAAAATGTGTTAAGTTATTAAAAACAGCGTTCAAGGAAAATTTTAAACTACTAAACTTACTCTCTCTGGATCGTCGTCCTCCATTGTCTCTTAAATTTTCTATTCGATTTAATATAAGTGTCAGTTTAAGCTGTAGGTTTTATGAAATATTTATTAAAATACCATCGAGAACACAATGTATCGCAATAAATTCCCTATATAACATCCACACAACTATGATGTGATTGAATGAAGCGTAGACGAATATGACATCTCAAATACACACAAATATACACGTGAAAACACTGCGCACACCAGAGACTCTCTGCAACCCTCTGGCAGAGAGTATTTTACCCGCACACCTCGAAAATTCCCAGTAAGTACCAACATGGCAAAGAAAATTAAGCTTGGATATAGTTTCGATTATTTATTCAAAATTTAGGTTAAAGGTATTAAAAGTCTTTCCAAGGTCATAATTTGATTACTGTACAGCAAGACATATCGAACATTGAAATAAACATTTCAAATTGAAAGGGGCTCAACTCATAGAACAAATTCCAACATATCCTCAAACGATTTCGTGATCACGTTCAATTTTATTCCAATTATTAGGGTCGATATCTTGTAGAATATGCATTTATTCTATAATTTTATTATATAAAAGTAATTGTTGCGGAGACAAAAGCCTCTGACGGCATAATTTTACAGGTAAAAATTTCAATAATTCCTTTGAATATGCCTGCGGATTTCCCAGTTGATCAGCTGTCTAATTAGCAATGATACCAACGTTCCTAAGGCAATAAAGTTATCAAGTAATTTTCCTTTTGAACAGAGGACAACATTTCAAACGACCGCGAAGTACTCAACAAGGTTTAAAAGATTTTCGAGATACATTGAACAAAACCTTCACAGAAATATCCCAACATTCGATGTCATTGGAAACATCTGTCACTGAAGGCCTTGGCGTGTCATGGGAACGTGTATGGGTAGATGCTTTAATATTAAGAATTCCAGGAGGTATGTAAAATAATTGTACTGATTTTGAATTGTTAAGTGCGTTATTTCCATTACATGTTCTCTTTATTGGCGAAAAATTAACACTGTCATTTAACTATTTCTTAGACTTAGGTAATGTAATTGGGAGGTCCTCTGTCCCTGTCACCTGTCAAAGTCCTCTTTAAGATGAACAAATTATGACTACAGTAGATTAATAAAATTGTAGAGAAAACATGCAGACCTGCAGATAACAAACTTCCCCACGTTTAAGTTATAGCAAAACATTTGAAGTTGTATCTCTGATAAAAGTTAGTAGATATATACATATATTTACAAGAGAAAGTGTGAATTCATATGTCATTGCAACATTCCGTCTGTTTTACAATTTTTCAGTCTCACTATTGACATTTGCCAGTTTTAAGACCCAGTTGATTGTATGGATAGGATTTTAAGAATTGATAAATTATGCTATAATAGTTAATAGTTCTGTTTCAATATTGCTAGTGGTCATTCTCTTACAGTGCTCTATAAAAAAGTTTTTGAACAATGCTTAGAAATTGAAAATTCAAAATAACATTGTACCATAAGAGCGTGATAAATAATATGCTAATTAAATAAATTTAAATGTTTTCAATGAAATTGTATTTTAACTTCATATTTAACAATAAATATGTGATTTCAACTGAATGACATTGCATCCTTATTTTCTGCTGCTTTGGATTATAGACTGTCATATTTACGCTCTTTGGTGAAGAAGAAGGTCAGTTCCTTTATTGATGGGTTCACATAACTGCTTGTCTACATATTGATCATTATTATAAAGATTCCTTTAGCAATTGCATGATTAATAAGCAAGAGCACGTTAATGAGTTTTTCTAGAAACCTTATTGTCTAGCATTTTTAGATTGCTCAGTAACATTTTTCAGCTGATCTTGGCGACACTAGAAAGGTGGTCATGAAGTACCATAATGTAAATATTTATTATTTTATTTTGTATGTATTTTAAATGTATTGTTTGGTAAGTTGAATTATCATTTACTTGTTGCACTTTTATGTCCAGCCTTTCTGGTATATTGCTTCATCTTTCACTATATCGTTTCATCACCAATGTGCAATAGCATTTACTGTAGATAGTATTGCTTTTTTCTCTCTTCTCTACATTCACTATTTCTCTTGGTTGACCTTAAAAACTATTGTTCAAAGTGAAGTTTAATACCATGTATTTCTTTCACTTCAAAAAATCCCTGCCAGACAGCCAACAGGGTAGGGTATGTCTTGTTAATTTGGGGACATCAGAAACACATTAGAAATAGGCTATAATGCTTTATCATTACAAAAGTTTTAGCAATACTTGATCAGAAATTTGTTTATTTAATTAAATTTCAGTATTCTTTTTCTAGTTCACCTCCTTCTACTTGTTAAATATAAAGAATAAATGTTGTTTAATTTATTTTATGTTGAATTTCTTCAAACTTATTTCACAAAAACTCTATTATGATATTATATTTTCACATTTGTAACTGATGTTTTAAATATTGTTAATTTCTATTATGTCATCTCATTTCATTTTCATATTCAGCCTTCCCAAGAAGTTATCCTTGAACTGACTGATGATTTAGTACCCCAAACAGATGAGTCTCCCTATGAAGAAGTGGAATTTACTCATCTCGGTCACAAAAGGTGAGTAGAAATTAGAAAACAGAGATAGAAAGAATACATGCAAGAAAAGATATGATGAAATTATGTGTAATGGAAAGATTGAAATGGAAACAAGTAAGGAAAGAAAAAAATCAACAAAATATTGCAGTAGATCTTATTTTGGACATGAATAAGTGAGTGTTTAAGGGTAATAAATGAGAATAAATGGTTGTTTTTTCTGTTTCATGATGTAGCTATGCTGATCAGCCTGTTCAGTTCCACTGTTTATCTCGTGTGCAAGCAAAGCCAACACACTCAGTGGCAAGAGATCGCAGTGATGCATCTTTCACTCCTCCAAGTTCTCTTGACCTTGAATGGGAACATGAAGGTAATTTCCATGTTGTAGCATTATCAAAATTTACATTCTTTATATATTGAGACACATTTAAGAATTATGTGGTATTGGAAAATGTTTTTACGGCAGTGCTTCAAATAAAAATTATAATTTTTGGTTGATGTGGAATACAAATTTTTTTAAACTCATAAATTTAAAAGGCAAATGGATTCAAAAAATTTACAAAGAGTTAAATGTTTTTCAAAGGGAAGGCATTCATGTTGTAACATCAACAACTCACTATAGAGTTCATACCAGAAAATATATTGGACAAAAATGTATTGACAATTATGATATTGAAGATGATTCAATCATTCTTATTAGTGATAATTTTTCAATTAATAAAATTATTAATGTGCATTGATGATACTGCCCTTTCACTCCAAAAAGTGAACTATTTCTAATTTGAATAAACTATTAAGTACTGTCAGTACTCAATAACTAAGAATTTGTCTACATATGCAAAATATATTGAAGATTCATATCAAAATGCACATCCTAAGACACTAATGAAGAGATCACAAACTTTTCTTGAGGTGCACTTTGTTTTACAAAGCAACAATTTTAATTTTTTTGCATTTGAAACCGATTGAATAAATATCTAATGTGTGTTGGGACTTTTTGTACTTTATTTGTTACAGACTTTTCAATTGACATTTCTACGAATCATTTTTTATATATTTTGCTGTGTTATTTATAGGTGGGCTCCTGCAGTTTGCTCCAGTGCCTGAAGAAGATCCAGATAAAATCAGCTCTTCAGATAGTCACTGTCCCATAAACTCGGATGACTGGTCTCGGATCTCTTCTCCCGACTCCCTGGAATGGGACCCTGTTGAAGCACCATTGACTTCTACTGCTAGTAGATCTACAGGATTAGATCCTGCTACTGAAATGCTACTGAAAAGAATTGAACATTTGGAATCGTCAACTTTAAGGGAAACTGGAGATTGGAAAAGATGATACCAAAGTGAGAATAATTCTACAGTTATTTTTTTAACTGCTTTTTGTAAAGCCCATTCTTTCATCTGAGAAAGTTGGCAATAAAGTGGATATGCAACTACTGTATTGGATGTTAAAAACTGTATTGAAAGTAGTGTATTTCAGATGGTGAATGGTGCATGTTTATTTTTCTGCCTATTCTGTTGTGGTGTAGAAACAACCTACTTATTAATTATGTGTCAATAATTAAGAGAGCATCAAAGTGTTAATACTCTTCAGAAATAAAAAAGTGCCCAGTGATACATACAGACAGACTAATCGAAAATGTTGTTTTGGTACAAAATGAAGAGCAGACATCGTTATTGTATTGCAATTTTTTTTACATTATGTCCTTTTAATTGCTTTGCAATTATATCTGTGATTGGTAATATGTTGCTAAATACTTCAGGTACCAGGGCACTTCGTATGGGATAAATGAATAAGTGAAACAAAAGAATGTGATATGAAAGAATGTTGTACAAAAGAATGACCATGGTGCATAACTTTCTAATATGGTTTCAAAAGAAATTTTGTTTTTATTAAACAAACTATTACATTTGTTTGAAAGGATGCAACTTTTGACTTGTTAATTTAAAAGTGCCATATGTCATTTGAATAAATCTTAAGTAGTGGTTCTAACTGAAAAAATTATGATCTGTGAAATAAAGAATAAGTAGATTAGTATAGTTTTCTTGCTGCCTTAATATGAATAATAAGTGGATTGAGTGTACTCATAACTCATCATTTGATATCCTCTGAAAGAGGTGAATTGTGTGTTCTTATGCTTATGTAAAAGTAAGATACTGAACTTGAGAAAGAATAGGGATATTAACCCTAGAACTATCAAGCCCATTTCAATGGACTTCCAGGTGGGTGGTTTGCAGAATGCACATTTATTTCTGTGCCATTTATACCAGGTGTTTTCATGTATGAAATATTTCTTTGAATATCTTGCATTACACAATAAAGAGGAGCCCCCACCCCCCCCCAAAGAAAAGTTTTAATTTTCTTTCTTAAAAAAAAAAAAATTATTATTAATGTTAATTGTGTATTAATGGCTAAATTTATTTTTCGCATGAGAACTAAAAATATTTAACACAAGAGATTGCAGATTAATTCTTCTTCCAAAAGTTTGTAAATGAAAAAGATTTAACAAATATTTGTAGGTGCTGGAGTTCTCTCACTTGATAGGTCTAAGGTTACATAATTGCAATACTACATTCTTCATAGAATTCTCATATGTAGGCATTTTTGCAAATATATGCAACGGTGAACAAATATAGACTTTTTTAAAAATAAGAATAAAATTCCTAATCCATTACACTGAAAATCAGTATGAATGTTTGATAAGTACAATAAAATGAAAATTGTTGGTAAGAAAATATTGGAAAAATTGTTGATTTTGTTTATCTACTTAGCGCCTAGAAAAAGAACTGCAAATAAGTGTAAGGACCTCCAAAAAAATGCATTAGCTTTATTTGGTATATATGCTAATATTTATTAGTAACATTGTTTTAGTAAGTGAACATATTTCCATGTTGTTTTGATTGTAATAATTACATTCAAGCAATTATTGCTAACATTCTTCAAATTTGGTTGATAAATCACCAGGTCAAAGTAGTATGTTTATGTAAACAACCTCTATTAATCTATTATTTTAGAGTGAAATTTAATAGTGTTTAAATGAGTTTAAGGGTGGGTAAAGATCTTAATGATGTATTTTTAATTACAAAGTTAAAATGTAAGTATAAAGTTGAAGTTAAATATGTGTTAAATATAGTGTGTGAATAGGAAGTGAACTACCAAAGAACAGAGTTGTTTTTAGCTTGTGTATTATGGAATTTTATTTTCTATATAAATTGTTTCATTTTTGCATATTGTCATTGGGCCTGCAAAAATGGCCATTTGAAGTGAATTGAGTGAGGGGAAAATTAACATTAAGGAACAAGCCCGTTTGATTGACAATTTGGAAATATTTGCATTCCTTTTCGTTCATTTTCCCTCACTAAATTCACTTCACATGGCCATTTTT